GAATAGGAAGCTGCGGTATAGAAAATCTTATTTTTTCCGACATGCAAACGATCTTGAATGTACTTATTCAGCTCCATATTACAGAATTTACTCGCTGCGAAATGCTTCTCTAAACAATACGATAGCGATAGAACCAAGAGCAAACTGTTCTCCTTTTATATTTTTTGCTCTTACGCCTTTCTCTTTTTTTTCACCTTATGCATTTTTTTGTTTTAATGTTTCGATATTGAACTCTTGAATACATGAATGCAATGCAATCTTTTTATAAGTGCGATTATCGTTTAAGGATCTTTCGTGAATTATACAGCGAAAGATAAAGCAATTGTTAAAGACGACAATAGAAAATAAAAGATTGAAAAGAGTACAAAATAAAGGGTAAATAATAATAAGTAATGCATAATAAACAAACGTAAATTATGATAATTTATATTCTTATAATATGATATCTAAAGCTTTATGATAATAAGGAGAATTAATCAATTTACAAATTAGTCTAAATTAATTTTTAATGCATAATTCTTTAAGCGTAAATTATGTAACTAAAATTATTTTTCGTACTTCCAACAATTGTGAAAAATTCAATGAAACTTTCAAATTCACTGCATTAAACAAAAATATTATATCGACATAATCCATCGATGCATAATATATAATACTAAATATAATATTAATTTCATATTTATTAATTGAATTTCAATTTACAATAATAGATGTGAGAAATGAAACAGTCATTTATCAACTATCAATGAAAGCTGTCTGAGATAAATATTTCATTATTTGCTATATCATCTTGATATTTCAAAGTATTAAATTAAATTAGCTTTTATAAAGATGACATTTCTAATTTATCCTATTTAGAATAAGGAATACTTTTTATACTTTCTTTTCATTTTGAAAAATATATTGTATTTAAGAATTGTAGTATCTTTTATAATAGTTCTGCCCATAAAAGTCTTTATTTCTCATACATGACCTTAATAGGCAAATACTACAATTTATATATTTTTTTGTATAAAAATTACAATATAAATTATATAATCCTTATATAAATAATTAATTCAAATTATAAATCAATGATGTATTTCTTAAATGCAACTAAGCCACCTTTTTAAGTGGATTTGTTTAATAATTTATGAATTTCATTTGATAAAATTTGATCTAAAGTTAATAAAAGAACTATATTCATTATATGAATTCTATCCATTATCTAAATTAATTGTTGTAAAGTACATTAAAAAAATTTTCTGTATTTTTCAAATACTAGTACAACTCCAGGTACAAATTGAACTATTTCTTATTTAGAATTTTATTATTATCTTTGATGGTATTCTATAACATATATTTAGTTTACGATTATGTTGATTATGATTATAATAAATAGCAACACAATACAAACATGATCGATTCACCATTAAAATAAAGCAAGACTTCCGTCATTAGCTCGCTAAATTTTCAATCATTCAGCAATTGTAACAGTCCTCATTCAAAGACCATTGACACTTATATTCGCTTAAAGTCACATTTCATAACGAAATAAGCTATAGTCATATTTAGAAAATAAAATTGACGCCGAATCGCACAGCTTTATTCGGTTACGCGAGGACACTGGTTTACGCTACCTCCTTGACTGTATTGTATTGTCATATTATTAGTCGGCACAGTGATTCCATCAACACACTTGATTTTTCATTTTCTATACGTCTTATATTATACATCAGAAAATATCTTTATGGATAGATAAAATTTTACTATTTATCCTATTCGCTGTTCCTTTGAAATTATAAATTAAAAATGTTTAATTGTTTTATGCTGCTCTTCACATCCAAACTACAATCCATCTACTATCTAAAATGCTTAATTAAATTAAATAAATATTTATATATATTTATGCATCTACAAAGCATAACAGACAAATTATGAATTAAACACATGTAAGTTAACAAAAAAGTGTGAATAATAGAGATAAATAATCTATTTTAATAACACGTAAATAAAAAAAAAAATATATATATATATATATATATATATATATATATATACATAAATAGAAAAATTATCTTCAATATAGTAAAACAAAAGTAAAATGCTGTAGTAAAATGTAAATGTAATTGTAATTCAGTAAAACATCGTAATCCCTTGTGTTTTTACTTAATTATATATTCGTATAAACTTACTTACAACTACTTAAATTATTATATTTTTTTATGTATACAATCATTAAAAATATTAGTGATAATAACCTTATGATATTATAACTGTGTGTAAGTAATTTAAACATGCAAACGCCATCTAATAAAATCATGTAACTATTATGATTGATAAAAACCTTTCTTCATTGGAATCCAACAAAAAATTAGTAATATAATTGTAGAATTATTGTCATTATTACGTAGAAGTACATAAGGAATGAATACTCATTTATTTATAAATTCAGATTATAGAGAGAGAGAGAGAGAGAGAGGGAGAGAGAGAATGCAACTGAAATGTAATACGTGTCTGCTTATTTTTCTACTATTGTTATCTTATATTATTCCTAAATGTGTATCTATCAACTTACCTCCAATAAATTTTTTCAAATTGTCCTCATACTACAATAGCAATTGTAATTTTTAGCTTAATACCTGGAATTAGTAGTTGATAAGTCCTTATTTAATCTATAGTGTTATCTTGATTAATCTCCCTTGATCGGTTATCGCCTTTTTACATCCCACTGGTCTCGGTATCAATGCAGTGACAGATTGAAGTTTCCGTGCGAAAGCCATTCCGACAGACAAAAAATCTACGATATCTTGCTGATGGTCAAGCAATGTTTGATAATTTCAACATATTATTCACTATATTTCATGAATAGTTGTATTGGACAACCACACGTTCATTTATTAATCAGGATGAAATCATTTCCAAGAATTCTAAACTCCTTATGCAATGAAATTATTGTTTTGTATAGCATTGCCAAGATGCTATTTCTATCCATCATTCTGTTTATGCTAAATCATTCAACCTAAATATCATATATTACATAAATATCATAATATAAATTTTCACAACATATTAAATTTATAGACTGAAAATTAAAATTAAATTTAAAATATTTTTCTAAAGCATTGAGAGTATAATTATTACAAACCTTGTCTCATATCTAAGTATTATTAGTAATATTTTCAAAACAGTAATACATATAATGTGAGCCAATATATATATATATATATATATATATATATATATTTATTTATTTATTTATTTATTTATTTATAAATAGTTGTATGTGTTATAAACTAATAAGTATCTAACGCTTTAAAAAATGCTATCAATTACATAAATTACAAATAATTTCAGCTTATTTAAATTGTATGCACAATTGGATAATTTTAATATTCTCAATATTTTATGCTAACATATATAATACAACATTTCAAATATTTTCCATTATGAAAACTGATCCTTTCTTTATTTTAAAATAAAATTATCTTTGACATATTAGAAAAAGTGCACTACCGAATCAGTCCAACTACACTTCCTTTGTCGTGTTTTTCCGAGTGGAATTTTTTCTTATTTTCAAAAAATTTAACACCAAAAATACATGTAATGGTTGCTTCCATTTCTCTCAACAGTGTCAGAAGGAAGAGTCCTGTAACGAAGCATTCTCCATTGCATTCCATATTCTCTAATGGCAAAGAATCAACTACTGTATTTCCGACGAGATTCCTTTCAAGCAACTAAAGCCACATATGATAGCGCACAAACATGTATATATATATATATATATACATGTATGAATGTATGTATACATATACGTGCTCTTTACAAGCTTTACAAAATATTGCTGGACTAAAAGTGTTACCTTTTGCTGACTCTAACTTGAGCACGTTCTTGCACACGGCCAACTTCCTTATATTGAAGCGGTGAATTCTCGAATTTCGCTCCGGGAAACTGAATTGAGGATTGACTATAGAATCCTTTTCAGTTAAGATGAAAGACACCGGCTCTTACTTGGGTTTGTACGAGTATTCTGTGTGATAAAATCTTTACCATTCGTTGTTACGCACTTTATGAAAAGAAATAATTTACCGTATACAACCTTTCTCAAAAATAATATAAGTTATGTTAATATGCCAGAATCTTTTTTTTGTAATAATTGCTTGTAATAATTTAATGGTTTATAACAAACATATTATAATATACGATTTTTATCTCTAATAATTTCAGAATGAAAATAGTTTCATTGACTTAATATTAGACTGATTGATATACCCAGATCACTTGTCCTTTCATATCAAAATCAATTATGTAAATATTTTACACATTCAAATATTTATAAATGACATAAAGTTCAATTTTTAATGTAAATTTAAACCCACATGTATGCGTATTAATGGATATGCATAACTGACATAAAGTGGGTAATGAAATTATTCGTTTATTTTAAAAGGAACATATGTAAATTTTGAAATATCGAATTGAATCTTCTGCGATTTTTAATTTTATTCTAGAAGAGATAGCCGAAATTCTTTTGTAATCGTTTAAAGTTAATTGTTAATTAATACAGGTAGTGAAGTCACGCGCACAAGATATAATAAAGTAAATCGCACTCTTATGCATTAAATTAATTAAGCAAAATAATTAATGAAAATGTTTAAATCCATATATAACTCTAATATAATAATGCATCAATGGACATATATAACTTGGAATTAAAATTAAAATTAATGCAAATAAATAATTTTTAAATATGTTACATCTAATGCTATTGTATTCTGGTATTAGCTATTCGTAAAAATATTCATACTTTTCATTAGTATTTTCAATGTGCTGATGATTGATTATCTTATTGATTTAATTGAAAAATATTTCTTAAAACTCAAACTTTTTATCTTAAAGCGAATCATTATTTCCCTTAACAAATTACAAAATTATACAACCATCTATTGTTTGTATCGTGTTCATTAAAAAAAAAAAAATAGCACTTCAAGGTTTATATAATCCATAAACATTTGTTACAGATTTAGCTACAACTACGGAGAAAGTAACGACCGCGAAAGTAGCGACAAAAAAGGTCGGGACGGCAAAGCGTTTCGGACCTACTGATTCGCCTATGCTCAACTACATATTCGATTCCCATAGCAGCCATAATAAACACCAACACTTCCACGATCATCATTGGGGTCCACATTTCGAGGGTAAAAGCACAAACATAACAGCACAAGCCGGGGCCAATGTTACACTGGATTGCCGAATTTCACTTTTACAGGATAAAACTGTGAGTAAAAATGTAATACTACCTAGTAAATATAGTGGATCACATCAGTAATATTATAATGACAATGATAATTAAAAAGATTTTTTTTGAATTTAGTCAAAAAAATTTTCAAGAAAACGATAAAAATAACCATAAATTAAGAATATATTTCCGGTTCTTATCAGTATTCCTTGCATATCATTAGAATACTATCCAAGTTTCTTTATCAATGAAATCATACAATGAAGTATTTATTTCATAAAATATTTAAAAAAAAGAAATGAAAGAAAAATAGTTTTTAAATGCCTGCGAGAATAATGATTTCGAAAACAAAAATTTATGTAAAATATCTGAAATTTTTTTCTATTAATACTCGTTAGTAGTGTAGCATGAATTACGTTAAAATCACTCATTACTTTTATTAATTATTGTTTCATAAATTAGAATATTAATTTCCAAATATATATATATATATATATATACATTAATAAATTAATTTTGTTCAACTCGATTTACGTAAAATACTCTAGATTTTTCAAAGTGCTTACGGAAATTATTTATTAAAGACCAAATCAGAAATGCCTGCCTTTTTATTTGTCAAGTAATTTTACATTTTTTAATAACGTAAAATTAAGGTAAAAAATTTTTTCATTGAATTTATCACTTTACTACTTATTATTTAATGCTATTTAACATTTACTTTTATTCTTATATTATTACAGAATTTTCAATATAAAAAAAAGATTGTTTTAATGAAGAACCATTGATTTTTCTCATTTCATGAACTTTTAATAGTCAAGCATAATATCAACCGTAATTGTAATACAGAAAATTTATTGAATTAGGCAAAATATCTAGAATAACATTAGTAATAATATAATTTGATACATTGTAATGAATAAATACAGTATCCAGAAATTATTCTAATTAAATTTTACTTCATAATTAATGGATGTTTTTTTGTTTTTATTAAAATATATGACTAATATAAATTAAGAAAAAATTATGCTCTTCACGTGATTTAAGAATTTTATTTGACTTTAAAATATATAAATATGTTAAGACTTCTAACGGTAATTAATGTTTATACGTATTATATTTATCATTTTGTTAACATTCATTTACTATAACTATAAATTTTCAATATATCTTGAAATGCATAAAAAGTTGAGCATATTAGGTAACCAAATGAAATATAACATATTATAATTTATAACTTCATAGCTTTTTCGGAATTTAAGAAGTTATCCACAAAGTTAATTATTAAGTATTAACATTATGAATCAGTGATTTGGAAGCTTTAATATGTATAAACATTTCGGCTAAAATTCGAGTAATAGTTTGGGCAAATTAGTAGGAGCAAATTTTTACAAACTATTATTATATTTACTTGGAAAGTTTACGAAAATAAACAATATTGATTTTTCATATATATGAATTTATCTATGATCTCATATTCAATTTCTTTGAAATAATAATTCACCCGTTTTCAATATTTTCATTACTTTCAATATATATATTATTTATAATTATATTATGAAAACATGTCATGAATATATATGCCATTGAGTTATATAAATTAGTAAAAGAATGATTATTTTTCATGTAAGGCGGTTTATCATTCCAAATTTCATTATCATGCAATTTCACAGTCATGTTCAAAATAAATACGAGTGCACCAGCTGGGATGAGTAGTAATGCAGTTCGCACATCTACCAGTTCCTCTTGTAACCCCATTTAGTTCAAGTTGATTGTAAACCTTCAATCCTTTTCGTTATTTTTATTTAAATGAGAATTAAAAGACATTCATTCAAGATTTGAATGCAAACTGAGAATGAGTTGCTCTATTCTATACGCTACTTTAAAGAAAAATGATAATAAAATGAATTAGAAAAATTGCAATAAACTTATTTTTACGAATCTCTTAATATATTTCAAATTTATTATTAAAAAGTTAATTTATACGAATATTCTTCCTTTTTCATTATATTTCAATTAAATTAAATAACGTATCATTGGATGAATCTTACCCCCTATTATTAAGTCATAGAAATAGTCTATTTGGATATCGTGTCATTATATATATATATATATATATTTAGATTTAACGTATAAAGAATATTATGAATTTATAATTACCATTCCAAAATATATATTTCTTCGGTATAAAGTTCATCGATTGATTTTCTTTTACAAAAAGTATCTCGTTACTAAAATTGAAATTAAATTAGTACATAGAAGTCTATTAATAACATATGAAGTAATGTGATGGAGCTCACATATTGTGTTAATTTATTAACTATGATAAATTATGAAAAAATTTACAGCGTAGGTTTTAACTATCATCATCAATATCAATTATATCATATTTTATATAATAAATAAGAAAAATAAATACGGAAACAATTTCACTATTTCATACATTATTCTTTGCAGTTACATTACTTTTCAAAATACGATTTGAATATAAAAAGAAAATATACTTAGAAATTCGTTTCTCATCATTTTTAATTTAAATTTAATTATTAATAGTATAAGTGTTATTTATAATTTACGTATTATAAATATAAATAAACAAAAAAATGCTCCATAATTTATAAATTATCCAGTTTATTTAGAAAAATCCTATGGTTAAACGTATTGCCTATATTAATTACTTAATTATCTATATTAACTAATTATTTTTCTTTATAAATTGAAATCTTTTTTATAAATTATGTTATACTTATTGTTATGTTATTCTTATTAAAAAAAAAAAAAAACCTTGTTACAAAGAGAATTTATAATTAACATTTGGATTAAAGCTTAGCATCAATTGGAAGATATTTACAATTTAGTTTTATAAATTAATTTTACACTATTATTATATTTTAACTAAAGTATGAATTTATTAACTCATAAGGTACATATACTTCAAATTTAGTAATGTTACCAAAAGTGTACATAAAGATAAATTGTAAATCAATCGAATGAGTGATTAAGTTGTCTATTATATATCTGCAATGAACAAAGCATCGTATAGACAAAAAATTTGTAAGAAAATCCAAATTAAACGTCTACAGGAAGTCTTGTGCAGTGTAATATGTCTTTTATAATTTTTTCTATTATTTCGACTATTATATTTCATACTTTTCGATAAGATATATTTAGTAATATTACCCGTCATAGCTATTCGGTGTAATGAGTTTCAGTATTGAATAATTATTATTTACTCGATTTTTTTCTATTTATAGATGCATGATAATATTCATTGAAATGGAAAATGAAATATAATAATCACTAGCAGAATATTCCGTAATTTATAAATGAATCTTTCTATAATTAATATTGATGTCCTTTAAATGTCGATAATTTTATACAATAAATACATTTGAAGTCGATAAAATATATTGGCACACTCAAATTTTGTTCTTCAAATATTACTTCAATAGTCTCTAATTAATAACAATTCTATTCATTATTAAATTAATTAACAATATATGTCTATAATGAGTTATTTATAATGTCTCTTAATATTTTATAATCTAGATACTTAAATAAAATACCGTAAATTTTCTTCGTCCTTAGAGGTTTTATCGCATTAGCTGGTATTTCAGCCTACTTGATAAATATGTAAGTGACTTTTCGATCGATATACATTTATTTATATCTCAAAATGAATACGATCAGCTCTCAATATATTATTCCCATAGTTGTTTTACAGTACGTTACAATGCTATTAGTTATTTGGACAAATTCACGATCAATGTCAATCATAGACTAAGTATATAAAACAAAATTTACTTGATAAATTTGTTAATCTTAAAATTCAATACAATTTTATTGCATATCATTCGCATCTCCATGAATATTATACCTTAGATTAAGTTGCCGTTTATATTAAAAATATTTTTCTATCTTTTTCCTTTTCTTCATTCACACTATCTTAGCCTTATATTTACTCTAGTAATAAAGAGTCATCGGCTTTGATTAAAAGAGCAGCTTCAACTTTTCTCTCCTATACCTTATATATATAACTCGTGTTCCGTTGGCTTGTACGCAGGTGTCCTGGGTGAGACGACAAGACAACGGTGAGAAGATGAACTTGTTGACGGTGGGGCAACAGACGTATACCGGGGACTCGAGGTACACCGTGGAATTTCAGTATCCGGACAACTGGCGCCTTCAAATCAAGAGCGTCAACAGCAGTGACGAGGGTCAGTATGAGTGCCAGATCAGTACACACCCGCCCAGGTTCATTCACGTTAATCTACACATTAACGGTAAGTACATAGCGATTGCAAAACTTTTTAACCGACGCCTTATTCAGCTACTCTTGATAGATGAGTCTTGTTAGCAAAGAAACTTAAGAGTTATAATAATGGTGGCGAAACGTTAATTTGACACAATCCAATTTACGACCTATCACTTTACCAAACCTGCACATTAATAAAATTATAGTGGAAACTCGTATTACTTGCATTAGCTCGATTATCACTAATTTCAATTAGTTTTCTTTTTATTTTTGTTGTAAGATCCGACAACATGCTATTGCATTATTACTTTTACAATACTATTGATTAAATGCAGAACATGAATCTATATGATAAGTACATAAAAATATAATTAGGTATGATTCTTTAATAAAATTATCTGCTTTCGATTAGTTAATTTTAACATTTCGCATTAAAATTAAAGATAATTATTTAAAAGCCTTTGCAAAAGTTTTATTCAATTATGATACATTTTAATTGAAAGATATACATATTTTAACACTAATTGTTTTATTTTGTATAATTACAAGCGCATACATTTAATATGTACTATATAATAAATAATTACAAAATTTAATATTTAATAAACTCTTGAATAATTGAAAACTTGTCTAGAGAATTTAATATTCAAGTCATTAAATTATTAAAACTGTAGAGTCTTATTTTTCATAACTGAATAAATAATATAGATTAACGTGCACTTCTTACTGACATAATTAGACGAAACAAAAAAAACTAAGCAATATTGCATTTTTGTATGTATGCCCGCGCGCGTGCAGTTTTGTACACATGTAACATGTACATAGGCGCGAGTATGTAAAAGAGATAGCTCGTTGAAAATTAAGGTGTGACAGATGTACCAGATAAAATACTTATATGTTGAAATAATAAATAAATTTTCATTATTTCCACTGTGACCGCACGAATTGCAATTATTCCGACATAAGTACTAGATTATTAGTAGGATAATTGAAAACTTACTAATAGGTACGATGAACGATTTCACGCAGTTTATAATAAAAAGCCAAATTGCCGGAGAGAATTTGATGACAATGAACGCTTCATTTATTTAATTGGAGAGTGTTCAAGTAAACGAGATGACAAAGGACATAGATAACTAATGTCATTAAATTGGTTATACATTTTGTGACTTTGTGTAATCCTAAGAAATTACTGGGATTTTGCAATTCAAACAATTTCATTTATCATTTATTCGCGATACTTAACATATTTAGAAATATAGTCGATAATTTAAAAAGAAATTAGAAATATAGTTTTAAATGTAAGGGATATTTTATTCCATGGTTTTTAAAATCAAATTATAACAAACGTATAAGACGCGAAATTCGAAAAAATAAATTAAAAAAAATAATAATCACAATATTATATTTTAAACGAACAATAATAACAATAATAATAACAATAATAATGATAATAACAAAAATATTACGATTATTTTTGAAATAATTAAAGTTTCCATGTAAATTAACTTGATGTTGACGTGATGTCGTTAATTGAATAAAAATTAATTAAGTATGTGCAATAGTTTTCACTAATGAGAGTTTTAAGTAATAAATAATTATAATATATAAAGAATAGTGATGGGTCAGTTGGTACTATTTAGTATATTACAATCTTCAGCACTGTAATAAAAGGTAATAAAATTGCATTAACGTATTTGATGAATTAATATATTATCATATTAAAAAAATTAACATATTGAATTACGTAATTATTCTAATTGTGAAATCTACAGTCAATATAAAATAAATAATGTTTGCTAAAATAAAAAGTCTTTAAAACTTGGCCGACGTATAAATCACAATTGTTTTCAATATTCTCTTTATCGAGTAGAATATAAAAAAGTAGAATTTTTAAGCAAAAAAAAAACCTGAAATTTTTCTACAATAATAAATGTCAATTGAAAGATCCTAATTCCAAATAACTCCAGGAAATTCCAAAACATATTCTCCATACTATTAGAGCAATTATACTTATCGATGATTCTATTATAATAGTTATGATGAATTTCTGTAAATAAATTAATAATTTAATACAACTCTATTTAAATAAATATCAATGTATGCGTAAAAGAATATGTACGTTGAATCAAATTCGACTACAATTCTTGTTTAATAGATTAATTAGGTTTAATCAATGTTCTACTCCCATTTTACTTCTTGTTCATTACATCTTATTATATCTTAGCGAATTCCATACATTCAGGAGATCATTAAGTGCGAAGGTTACGATTGTATCTAATACAATGGACGCGTACCGAGAGTAAGATCCATAAAATATAAATGAAATGTGTATAAACTGAAAATAAATAAAGGTGACAGGTGTGTGCGCCAATGGCTTCTCGACTCATCGGAGCTCACCCGTAAAGAGACAACAGCTCGCCGCTGAGACATCCCTACCCCCCACTACCGCCCCCGGCAACGCGAATGCCTTTCGCCACCTTTCTCGTTACGAGGACACTTGCCCTCGACCGGTCTTTAACCCGCGCCCCTCGCATCTCTAATCTAGCGCTATAATTGAATTGTTCCATTATTATGATGGAAACGTAATTAAAATAAGCACTTTGTAATAAATTTATTGTAGCAATAGATGTAGAATTAAATTTATTTGGCCTACCGTATTAGAAGGAAACCCCATACGATTCCATTGAACAATTATGAAACTAAATAAATGACTTATCCTTTTTGCTGAATATCCCTGTAATTAATAGCCTGTATCTCCTAATCCTTTTTGGCAACCTTTCATTCAATTTTTTTTCTTATCGGTTTACTCGTACATTTACACCGTATCCACAAAGAACCCCTCTATCTTCGTTCAATTGTCCAAATCTTATTCATAATCGCGAAGAGTATTCACTCCATCTCAAGTTCAATGTTCACCGCTTCATTGGTTTATTAAAAAGGATTCGTTGGAATATTAAGAGAACGAATAAGAATAAGAAAAAAGGTATTTGGTTAATTGCGCATCAAGTTATGTGAATCAAGGACTTTTCTCATCTTATTCATGAATTACAAAGCAAAAAGAATAATGAGATTGCATCATTGAATGTTTAAAATATTAAATATGATTGTTTTGATAATTCAATCGATAAAATATGGTGCGCATTAGTGTAATAAAAATTACACATATAGAAACATATTGAAGAATAAAAATTCTGAATGACATCGATATTATGTAAATTACTCTAATCATATTTAGTAAATTGTAATTGTCGTTAATATCATAATATAATGAAATATATTTTTTAGACTTTATCTTCAATTTTTTTCCAACATCCTCATATGCGTTAGAATGACATTGTTGCTTTCCATTTTTCACTACTTAAAATATTCGCAAAGTTTGTTTACGATTCTATTAAATTTTCTATTATTCCGAGAAGTTTTTTGACGCCATAGTTACTTTAACTCCTCGATACTAGAAATGTAGTTGTAAAGCTAAAATTAAAATTATGTAAATCATTATTTTAAAACATTTTAAAAGCACTATTCGATAATTTATACATTGAATTAAATCATTAATTACTCGTGGTACCAATTTTCTATTTTACTCACCATGGAAAAGAACAAGAAATTTTAACTAATAACGATTTTATAATTTTTTTTACAAATATTATTTGCTACATTTAAAAAGTAGTGGAATGCTTGAAATTATATTTATTTTATGAATTTCAAAGATTTTTCAAATCCCAGAATTAGGAAAAAAAAAATTCAATTTAATAATCATATAAATATTTTCATTTATACATAATGGCACTTTATATCATTATTTCACATTAACACGTTACATATAATTACAACAACTAGAGTATATTCTTATTATTGATAAAGGATAAGGTATAAGATAATAAGGGCATTTGGTATTCGAAAAACTTCTTCAGCCAAAGTTATTCGTTCATTAAATACAAATATGAATTTATCCTGTCATCACTTTACATGATCTCACTATTATTTTTGCTTGACTTCAACTTCTTTGCGGCTTCCGTAACTCTACACTGCATTGAAGATGTTAGAGGGAACCATATCGGAGTTGACGCTAAACTGCACGAGACTTTCAGGATTTCAAGCAACTTAAAGTGACATATTGCATAGTATGAGCGTTAGGCATACTATTAGTTTCGTTTGATGAGGAGTTGCGAGACTTGGAAATATTTTCTTCGACGGGAGCGAATCAACAATAAGCAGCTCGTAAATATTAGGAAATTAATCTTGCCTGCGCTACTTAATCGCTTTAAATAAGTTATATATTCGAAATGTTTTGGGAAATATGTTTTCGTATTTTATGCAAAAAAAGCTTTGATTTCATAGGCGTTAGCTATATTTGAACACCTTTTTTTTACTTTTAAATGTAATATATTTCACGCGTCTTAATTTTTAAATATAAATATCGTATTTTAATATGCATGATATTAATAATATAAATTTAATATAACATGCATTAATTAATTACGTATTATAACCAACATAATATATGCTTACGTATTTGATGATGTTCCCTTACTTTATTGTCTATTATTTTTCCTTTGTTATAAAATCATGTTTTGGTTTTATGTTATATTTTTTATTTATTTTTTTTTTTTTTTTTTTGAAGTTTATTGTTTCTGCTACATTCAAAATTCCAATTAAATTTTTTTTTTTTATTATTTTTTTTTTAATACACCGCAATTCATTCACAAAATACTGTTATATAAAATTTGTAAATAAAATGTGGTAAAACAATCATTAGAATGATCGTTTTTAATTTTACCAACATATTACGTTTATTTACGTTCATTGCAAAAGCCTGTGTATAGCTTTTCAAATACTATCGCATTGAAAACTTGGTAAAACCGTTGCTAATCTTTTCTCTTTCTTGCTCCGTAACATCACGAATTCTTGTTGACTTTTGCAACTGTTCTGCTTTTATCTGCTTTCCATTCAATTCCCAACGGACTGATGCATACTCATACCCATATATGTGTCTTGTCTCCTGTGGAAGCTTTTCATTTTAAACTGCCACTAACAAGTTTGTGATTTTCTTTGCGCGAGTAAAAGTTTTTCGATCCAATATCATCTCGATGGTATCTTAAAAAAGGGGAGAATTTTCGTTATCGATGAAATAAATAGGTACAGAAAAATGGTTGTCTTTAAGTTGTTCAAAAATTGAATCTCTCATAGTTTATTGCGTTGAATGGTGAACATTGTTTTTAACAACTTGGAACTTCCAAGATAAAACTTCGATGTTAAACATATCCAAAGTATTTCCTGTAAAGGTGATTTATGTACATCTTGCTTTTTATAATAAAAATTTTTTAAATATTAATTATTAAGGGAAAAACATTTAGTAAGAATTTTAGAATATTATCACGATATTTTTTCATTAAAAAAAAAAACTTATCTATGAAAACAACTGGTTTTTATAGAAATGAAAATAATTTAATTTGTATAAAATACTTAGATGTATAATTACTAAAAAAGCTATTTGTAGGTAAATTTATAACTTATATTTTTATAAAAATCATGTGTCAAGCATATTCATCTTAATGTAATTATATATTAATAGGATAATTACAATACGATTTTCTCCTTATAAAAAAAAAAAACATAGTATAAGGAAACAATATTCCAAATGTACAATTTTCATTTATTAATAGATGTTATTACTTATGGCACATGAAAAATTATAGGAAGCGCTCGTGCCTTTTTTTAGTTTTCTCCATTCCTCGCGCTCTTGTTCCAAATAAACTCGATGCCTTTATCTATTTTTACGCAATGTGTATCGATTTATTCTGTGATCTTCGACGGATAATCGTGATTCAAACTTCGAAGGGTATAAATAAAGGACAAGCAAATGTCGTTACGCTCGCATTAACGTCAACGCGTTAACATTTTTATTTTTCATTCGAGCTGTTATCGATGAAGCGCTTACTGTATTCGAGAATTTAATAACAAAATTGAGAAAATAAGGTTAAGATTTTATCTATGATTTTCTTCTTGATGCATTGATATTTATTTATCGAGTAATGTATTATTACTTATATATAATAATAATAGAGTTTAACTTCAAGTTTAGCTCATTGCTTTTACTATTAATAATTAATTTATCGATCGAAAGTTGAAAATTTTGTTGTATTTCATAAATTTTATGAAGCCCTGCTGCAGCTTTAAAGGTACAAGATCACCAATAAACTTTCACTATCCATAAACAACTGTAAGCAAAAAAAAATTGATTAGATTAATTGCCCGGCAATATAAATTTGCAAAGACGAAACAAGTAATGTACACGAGCATTAATTTAAAATTCTCTTATGCGCCACTGTGTACATTTTATGATATGTAGTAAAATATGAATTGTAGCCGTGATACGGAAGGATTCAAAATATCATTTAGTACATTGCACTATGAAATAAAATACAATGTTATTTGAATTTAATTTCAAAATGATAAATTGAATATTTCTAATTACGCACATCGATAGCACTCAATTATTTACTTACGTGAATGAACGCTTATCACTTGGCATTTTTAAACATCAAAGGCTATTTCAGATTCAATCAAGATTTAATTTTAAATTATATGTACATATATGAATTTAATCTACATAATTAGTTTCACATAAATGTTTATGAAATTTTGAAAATGTATTTTATATCCTTATACTCTATTGTTTTTAACACATTTTTTTTATATATAATGACGTAATGAAATAAGTATAATCCAATTTACATGAAAAATACGACAGTTATAATCGTCAATTCATAAATTAATTATCAAGCGACTCAGATTTCTTAGATTACAGACAAGATTTTGCAAATCATACATATTCTAATTGTAATTGAAGTGTGAATAGAGACAATTTATTATTGCATTAATCGCTCATTGGAAGAGTTAGCTGGCCGTCTCTTACGAAATCAATATTAATTTATTATATTATTAAACTCGCTGCGTTGAGAAAAGTCATACTCCCCGAAATATCTCCTATATTAAGTGTACACTTATCTTCTGAATTTTTTTCAGCTGAATCTTTTAAATTATAATCCTATATTTAGACAGGCTTAGCTAGTACGGATGAGTTTAGATAAAGAGGGGAAATATTGGAATTGGTGCGGTAGAAGTTCGTCGTAGGTAGGAGAAAGAGAGAACGTTATTCAGACAATAGTGGCTGAATAAAATACGATAGATTATTTATAATTTGAGAAAAAAAATTAAAAATTAATGCTATAAATTATCATAATAAGTTGGCGAAGCACCATTATTAGATCTATATTTTTGCTTTATTTGAAATATATCGTTGCTTTTGTCTATTTTTGACTCTATTATGAATGCATTTACTCAACTTGATGAACGTTACAATAAATTATCATTTCCTTGAGTTCAAGATATTTGTGGAAAAATTAAGATAAGGATTGTACAAATTTCCTAACCATAAAGGTATAAAATTATTTTAATAAAGGCCCAATTGATTGAAATATTTCATAAAACTTATTACTTGCTTAATATTAACAATACAATTATTATTAGCTTTCAAGTCTGAATTGCTATTTAACCATTTCGAATTCAAGCTTCTCATAATTATTTCTTATCGCGTATTTCATTTGAAATTTGATTTTAACGAACGCGTAAAAAAATTACCATCATCTATTAAACAATAGTATCTATTAATAATTTACGGATAATACTGGTATTGGAAAATTGTATTGACATGTGGATTAATTCTTAAAGAATTTAAATTAATTCGATTAATACATTTAATAGATACAATTTTTTATATAATGTTCGGTAGAGTTTTTTAATTAAAAAAAAAAAAAAAAGAAAAAACAAAGAAAAAAGCAATCAATGAAGAATAAAAGAAATGTAAGTTCTTTAAAATGTATAGAATATTATCGATAGGCGAGTCGATGTGTTTATGTTTTATTGTGGATGTTACGTCTCTATCAACTACTTATACAGTTTGTATTTTTGCTAAATAGAGTTCCTTCGGTAGTTTAACTTAAACGACTTCAGGACTGTCTATGGATATTTTATTATAGGACATTGTTTTATGTAATGGATATTCTATTAACTATTGTGATTCGATAAATCGTCATATTTTTGTGTCAAAAGCATAAGTTTTCAACCGTTGTCTTAAATTTACTTAATCATAATAAACAATTACAAATAAGCGAGTAAAGTCGTATAAACTATTTAAATACGTTTTTTTTCTTTTCTTTTTTTTTTTTTTTTTTTTTTTTTTTTTTTTTTTTTTTTTTTTTGATGTCGAAAAAGGGAGATTTTACTTAAAATAATAAAAAAGAGCCATAAATTCTGTGAAGCACAAATTTAAAGAGAATTCGTAACTGTTTTTAAATATTCAATCCCTATCTTATTTTGATGGCCCATATTCTTTGTATAATTGCTTTTTACGTAAAATATACAGAAAAATTGTCCAGAACGACTTACGAGCATCATTATGTAAAACCTTTAATTAAAAGTGAAGTTAATATTTTGCAACTACGGGAAACCGATAGTTAGCAATGCACACGAGCGTTTGAAACAATGAAGGAAATGGATAGAAATTCATTCCTAAAAATAATAAATACATTTTCATTTCAGCGCCATCGGTGAGAATAATAGATGGCATGGGGGAGCCTTTAAGGGACAAGTATTACGAGGCTGACAGCACCATACAGCTTCTGTGTATCGTACGTCATATAGCGATGCAAATGCAATATAGTGTGGTCCAGTGGCTCCATGGAAACCGAACGCTAAATTACGACACCACTAGAGGAGGAATTAGGTAATGGCGAATAAATTTATCGTATATGCCGAGGTAGACTTCGTACGGCTCGCGCTATTTCATTATTTTACAATCCTCGCTGATAAACACAATTAAATAGAAAATCCATAAATGAGCCTCCAATTGCGATAAGTGTAAGTGGGAGATATAAGAATACTGTATAATTCAAACGATTTGCGAATTTCTCATTAATAATAATCAATGAAAAGCTTTTCCAATAATGTAATTAATTATACAAAAGTATTTTGATCAAATTATTTACATCAAAATTGCATTTACTTCTACAAAAATTAATGAAATTACAGAATATAGTGTTTAAACAATTTTAGTTTACCCACGAATGAGTTTTTCTATAATTATTATTTCACTATCCATGTGCAATTTATATTTATGGAATGAAAACACTACGCTCTTACCATTTAATTGGCACGAGCCAAATAATTATGCAAAGGACGACAGAGAAGAAGAGAGAAAATCTATTTTACAATTATTTATTATTTACTTATTGTAATCTACCTCTAGATTATACTTTAGCACAATTATGAAGAAAATAAGAATTGGTGAATTTATATTAGCTAGATTAAGATTAAAAAAAATAATAAAGCAACAAAAAAATAGAGTCAATTATTAAAAGGATAAAAGAAATTGAATAAAAAACTATAAAGCAAGTATAAAAAAAGTATTTATAGTAAAGTTAATGTTAAGAAAGTTGGCTACTACAGCCAATAATAGTCGTATACATTCAACGCTGTATACATACACCTTACACCTCCGCTATTACGTTTTTATCTTTTTTTACTCTCAAACACGATTTTTCTCTTATTTTCAATCTTAATCTGTTTTTCCTTTAAACTTTATTTTTTCCGGCTGCGTGGTTTCACGCGAACTACTTTAAATGTTTCTCCTTTCCTCGGAATCTATACATTTACCATTGTAAACGTTTTACAAAAATATTTAAAAATATCAACAATAATGATAACTTCTTAATCTCTCCCTACATTAATAACAATTTATTTAAAATCACATTGTCACCAATATTTTAATGAGAAAATCATTATGTTAAAGTAAGAGTGTCCATTTTTTTGTTTTCATTATAAAATCCATTATACGATCATTAATTAATTGTCGCATAAATGTTATGATTATAATGACGATCTAAAAATACATACGAACTTTCCAAATCTTGCAAGCAACGTCAAACTTATCGTAAATACATTATTATTACATTTATTTAAGGAAAATAAAACATTTTAAAAATATTTGCACTGCAAAACATTGTCGCTACGCACAAACCAATAAAAATAGATAGACGACATAAAAATACATAGCTGACCAGTCACCATCCCAATATCCGTACCTGGTAAATGAGCTACATGACCACGAATGGCCGATCCTGGCACGTATCCTGGCGCAGCGCGTGCCCAGGGACATCACAGACAAGCGTCGCTCAAATCGACATTCGAACAATATATAAGATAACAAGCAATAGCACGAGCCATCACACGACAAGCACAACTAACAATTGAAAGTACGAAGAAAGCTCTCGCTCCTTCTCATCACCGATCTAACATGCAATTCGACACATCAGATTGGGTCAGATTGGGTCTTGATTCCAAAAACATTTTGATATATCAGAGTTAGGGTCTCCGATTGGAGTAAGCCAATGTTACATGGCGCTTTTATGAAGATTTTTGCAAAATGTGCAAACCCGTTCGGTCACATCCCTACATATAGATTAAAAATAATAAGCGAATGTGCATAAAAATAAAACACAAGTAAGACTGGAAGCCGAGAATAGTGCATAAAAGGAAAAGAACAACAATTAAGAATGATCGAGCGAAGCATGTGAATGTCTCTCGAATTCGTAACAAATAACCAACTGAATTAGTTGTTTGGTCATGATATTTAAACTGTCGTTCACAGTTCTTACCGATCCTAATTCGTTTGATGCCCAGCACTACGATCAAAACTGCCGTTTAACGCACTTCACCGTTCAATACAAATGCAATGAATCCCTCCCTCCCCGTCCCACCCGCTATCTCATACTTTTGTGAAGCTATTGCTGTTTATGAAGTTCAAAGAAACGAAAGAGGTGAAACTATGCTGTATTTATTACAAGTATCAATTCTTTAATAACACGAAAACTAAACAAAAATCATTTCCTTATAATCGTTAGAAGATTTAAATGACTTTGTTATAAATCTGTATTCAAATGAAATCTTCTAATAAATGTGCATGGCTATTAATAAACCATATGACCATTTTATAGTGCACATACGAATGCAGAGTAGCGACGAAATTATATATCCGCTCTTTTAGTAGCTAAACGATTATTAGTACGCACTTTAATTATCTTTAATAATGTAAATATTTAATAATCAACAACAATTTTAACGGCCACAATAATATGCTTAAACATTGATTTCAAATTACGTTTGTATTAATGAGAATCTTAGTGATATATCCACATATTCGAGTATCCGTAGGTATTTTATAGAAGAGGTTGAGAAATGTTCACGATGTCTCCTCGACTCGATAACACAAATAATTTCGTTATCCTTTTCCAATTATAATTGAGCTTCAAGTTACAAAGATTCCAGTCATCGACCATTACAATCGAGCATAAGATATGGCAATCGGATCTTGTTGTAGAACGATTTTTGATAGGGAAAGGTACAATAGATCCAACGAATGAAAGGAACTTACAGGGAGGTAAGCAGTCGGACAATCCATCAAGAACAACGAACCGAACTGCAACTAACACAATTGTATGTCGAGCGCACATAATAGCGGAAACTGAAGTATTTTTGGCATGTAGGAGCCTGCAAAAGAAGAACTCTCAGTCCATTTCATGGAGGATGTAGAAATGTTTTCTCAAGTGATAGCTTCCCCTACATAAATCGCTTTATACATCCACTATTATATGCAAGCTTGTAGTGAAATTTGTAAATAAAATTTGTTAAAATCAATTAAAAAAATTTTTAAATAAAAAGAAAGTCAAGTATTATTAAGGAAAATATTTTTCGTAATTTTGAAGTACGATTTTTCATTCTTTCTGAACTTAAATATGTTTTAAATTATGTTTTAAGCATAAAAATTGTCGTTTGATTCTTTATGTATATATAGAAATAATTTTGATATATGTGTAGTTACGAACGAAGATTTAGAAATAATATTATTGATAAAATAGCAAATAGTCGTGTAATTTGACAATTTTTCGTCCTTCGTATAAAAATTATTTTTATATTTTGAAATGAAAATGCAGGTAGCATGAGGTACGTAAGAGTCAAAATTGTTATAGAAATCTTAGGTATTACGATATCCTTATGGCAATTATCATTAAAATAATAAGCTACAAGTCAATGAAGCTTCTTTCTTTTTTTTCCTATATTTTACTCTATCGACCTTAGAATAAAAAGTGCTTAATAAATTCATGTTAATTAATGCACTTTCTATTTGGCCTTGAATGTAAAATAGCGTTAGAGTCGTACACAATTAAAAATTATGCTCAAATTCCTTGACACTTGATAATTTTCACATATATCACCATAATTGCGCATAACTTACCCGATCTTGAATTATTTCAATGGCCACAACTATCCTCGGACCCCTCGGGCAAATGCCTAAGTAGAGGCCTATTTGGGCCAAGGCGGTAATATACGCATGTAAATGTAACATTTATCGTGACGTGTGCATCTCAACTTAATTAGCTGGCAATCGAGTTATGTAGATAAACAATGGAGTTTGCATTATGCGCCTCTGCTAATATAACTTGGCGATGTAAATAACAAGTGTACTTACATACCGACACTTACAAAAGGGAACATGCACACGATACATAAGATCCGGACCTATCGTTTAACACTGAATAAACGGTCGCTTCCTAAAGAGCTAATGAATGAACAAATTTCAAAGTTAACTTTTTCAATTAAAGTTCTAAGACGTTCTTCGCACAGGTTGCAACAAAGAGGTCAATTTGGAAACTTAACGGAAGGTTACTGTGATATTAAAGAAGGCAGTTTTTCGACTTCCTTCCTTTATTTTGCTTATTTTTACGAAAGACTGCCTGGAAAGTCTTATGAAGCTATTACAGTGGAAAAAGAATTTTTTATCTTATATTTAAAAATTTTGATAAGAATCTGAATGAAGATGTGTTCGATTCTTACGAAGTAAACCCATAATTAATAACATTATAGATGTTTGTTAATCAAGCAACTGTAATACTTATTACACGCTCTATTAGAGCGTTCAATATTTTCAAAAGAATGTATGAGAGTTTGGAAAAAAAAACGATGAAAGTTGTAATTAAAGAACTGAAAATTAAAGTAATAGTTCGGTATAATGCAAAAAGAACCCAATTAGCCGTGAAATTAAGAAAATATATATGCCGACCAATTAAATAATTATTTAATTAATTATTTAACTTTTTTGTTTTTATATTTTATTCTTAATAAAAATATTGAAATCTCTTATGCTATAAATCATAATGCAAATTTTCGTTTTATTTACGATACTTATTCTATAAGATTAAAATAACGAGTTTTCAAACAAAGTTTTATATATATTAAAAAACTAACCCATGCAATCATATTTTGGCTTAATGGAATTCAATAAATGATTTCATTTTATTTTTGCTTATACAATTCGTATTGCCATAGTTGCATTTCTTTTTAGTACCGTTGCAACAATTTGAAAGTTATCTAATGTAAGCGAAAAATCTTTTACATAATAATGTAACCGACTTTTTTTCACATTTAAAAATGCATATATCGTTTAATTTTTGCACGAAATATTTTTGCCATTAAACGATCGGATAATATAATAATAGCAATGAAGTAACAATAAATTAATAAATTGTCAAATGTTTATTTAAATTATCAAATTCATCTTTTTTCTTTTATATTTCGATGTGAATTCAGTTAAATAAATAAGCAAAATTCGTAAGTAATGGATTCCGTGATATCTACAAAGCTACTTTCTGCATCTTTTAAACAATTTTGCAATTTCATTATTGTGAAAAGTCAAAATTTTACAAGTTTTTTGTTCTTCGACATTAATTCTAATCCATCGAAAATCACATTCAAAATCCTTACAGTCAAAACGAATAAACTAATAATTGAATAATTGAAATTATTTGAAAGATAATATTTCTTTGCAATATTATTATTAAATAAATTTAACGTCGAATTAAATTAACTAAGTATCAAATGCAAGAAAATTAAATGTTTACTATGCCTATTTCTACGACAATGTGTTCTTCCAAAACGTTTGCTAATTTTTTTAATGTAAATTCACTTTTGTACCAAATCACTATTTCGCGGGTGTTGGTAAATATTTCGATCAATTAATTTGATATAACCATCGGGAATGTCGTGTAATATAAATTTTCTTTAAATCCTTGACATTGTATTTAAATCATCTGGCACTATGAGTATTTTTAGCTAAGTTTTCAAAAAGAAATGTCAGAATATTGACAAAAAAGCACCCGTTAGCCATTTTTATACTCCATTATAATGAATAGTGCACGGGCCATATAAAGTACATAAAAAGCGCACGCCGTAATAAGATTCGTCAGGACCATAAACAACTCTTCCTTATATGTTCTCAGTGTCAAAACCAATCTGATGGAAGAGGGAGCCAACTCGACATTGAGTATAGCAAGGGTCGGTCCAGCGGATAGTGGAAATTACACATGCGTCCTTACGACGATGCTCGAGCAGCCAGCGACAGTGCACGTGCACGTTTTAAATGGTGACTTGACGTTTTAGTTTTATTTCGACGATGAGTAAGCCTCGGTCGAGGATAAATAAAAATTCAATGACTTTATTTCTGTATGCACCGCGCTCCTCGGAATTTCCTTAATCTTTCTCCTCTTACATAATAGCACCGCGCTCCTCGGAATTTCCTTAATCTTTCTCCTCTTACATTGTTTTCGCTCTTTCGCTTCTATATTGGCTCATTTTATTTAATCGTTTGTTTATTTTGTTTTATTATTATTATTATTATTATTATGATTTTTTTTTTTATTGATTGAAGAGTGTACGACAATTACTCTTTTATATACACCCGCGATATTCTCATTGATTCTCATTGTATATTTTATAAAGTCGTCGGTTCGTGCTTTTTCTAATTTCATTTTAATATAAATAAGCGTGACTTATTAAATAATATAAATATATACGTGGCCCGATTGTGAAAATAACAGAAAATATGTGAATTTTTAATGAAAAACACTATAAATGTATAATGATAGATATATCTTTATCGGCGTAAAGAAGATAAAAATTGTAAGTTAATATTAAAATCGATGTTAATAAATGCAACATAATATCGTATTTGATTCATTATTTTCATTCTTAACGTTCACTTATTTTAATATTAATTTCAATAAATTTATACAAGATTAACGTTAAATTAATTTCTTATCAAATTATAATTACACCATAACGGGGTAGGAATTGATGTATTTGTTGCGCTATTAAAACCATTAGCAAACATAATACATTTAGTCAACGATTGGAAGTTAACAGTTGATCATTACGCATAATTAGTACAAATTTCACATATTGATAAAAGTTCAAGGATATTAATCAATTAATTATTAGCCAAACATATAATTGTTATGAATTCTTAATTTATGTTTTATACTGATTTTAAATAAATATGATTAGAGTAAAATTCAAATTTGACGTGCAATAAAAAGATTAAAAGTTAATAATACTCATTTAAATATTAACACTGATAACCAAAAAATTATTTTATACTAATATATATTTTTTCTTTTTTCTCTAGAAAGCTAATAAGTAAATAATAGATCGTCGTTCGAAAATCAAAATAAAAAATGTGTAACTTACTTTGAAACGTTAGTTATTGTATTTAACCGCTTAGATAACATCGAAATATACCGACACGATTAAAGAGCGTGTTTCCTTTTCTTTTATTTATTCTTTCTTTTTGTTTTGTTTGTTTTTTTTTTTTTTTTACGTATAATGATTTTCTCGCGTTAAAATGATTAATAATAATGAAACTCGTCGTTTATTTAGTTAATAGCTTTGTATTCTATTGTTTTTGGTGTTTGTTTTATCATTTTGTTTTTCAAGAAGGAGCTCACTTCCATATTTCTTACACGACTTATTATATAATTATATGCAATCGGTAATGTCGCCTCAGCGACAATTCCATTATAAATCCGCTGCCATTGAAACGCAATCGCGCAGCCTCGACTGGCGCCAGAGGCAGTTGGCTCTCGGAAAGTAACGTCCGCCAGAATGGGTGCAGCGGCGGTGCAGTGTTTTTCAGTGGCTTTCTTTATTTCAGGAGAAAGCTTAGCCGAGCTGCATCACGGTAGGGCGAACAGCATGAATCATCCACGGGTCGAGCTGAGTATTTTAAGGCTGCTACTGCTGCTGGGGCTGAGCCTCGCCTGGCTCCTGCCGAGATGAAGAAACGCCCGTGGACGATGCTCGTGTCACGACTCGAGCGGTACAACGGCAGAGGAGGAGAAGCAGGTGTGATTGGGAGGGCACGAGTCGGTGGGACGGAAGATGAAAAGCAGGAGGAAGGAGTAACGGAAGCGAGCTATGCGCTTCTATAGAAGCTTATGTACGGTCGGGGACGGAGCGCGAGAGTGTGGCTTTGAAAGAGACGCTGTTCATGTGTTGTCTTACTCTCGACGGAATTGCAATTTTACGTGATTTGTGGGAAGCGAAATGTGATATAAAGGACGTACAGTGCGACGCCTGTCCCATCATCCCACATTATTGAACGGGCGCAAAAAGAGAACGAATGCGTTTGAGTGTAAAGGACTCCCGGTCCGGAAGATGAAACACGGATAAGATAATGGCTGAGACTTGGAGAGAAAGTGTACTTTTAGGGTGCTGAGATTTACAAAGCGATACGCTTGCGTTACGACACGCGAGATGGTAAAGCGAAGTAAGGCTACGGGAGAAGGAAGCTGATGCAAAAGAGTCAAATTTCGGAAAAAATATTATTCATTTTTTAAATTTTTTACTTATTTTTGTTTTCTATGAAATGTTGAATAGTCTTTATTTATTTGAAATCGAAACACGTAAACAATGTTTCATATTTTAATAGCATAAAAGTTCATTGATTAAATTGACCTGTAAGGATTGGACTAACAAATAATAAATTACATTTCGTTATTAAATTTTAGCTTCTATTTTTCAATTTCTAGATAAAATAATTTTAACAGTTAATAAATCAAGCTTTATGGAATATTTAATCAATAAAATGCATTTTATTTGTACGTTTCAGCATTCTAGAGCAAACACAACATATAATAACAATAAACTTATTGTTTAAAGCATAACAAAAAATTAAATATCTTTCCATCCATGAAATCTTATAAAATTATATAAACTGTGCGAGTAATGATAAATATGATGAGCAAAAGGGAATATAGTTAGTTTTTTTCGTTTCAATACCTTTTTGACAATTTTTCGAAAAACTAATAATACATTAAATTTGTTATATTTCTTTTTATTCATATTTTCATCTTTGTTATAAATACATATAGTAGTTGAAAAAGTTTTTAAGTTTTTACATTTGGTATCCTATTGGTAATAGAAACATTCGAATCTGCGGCAAAAATATTTTTCGACTCGATCTTATTATTTATTTATTATTATGTACATATATTTTTTTTTAATTATTATTAATAGTAAAATTATTATATCAATTATGTCTATAAAATATTACTCGATAACGACTTTAAATAAATACGGCTGTTTTATGAATACATGCTCCATAGATCCAAATTTCTGTATGTATGGGCGCGTATATATATGCACACTGTAAATAATAATACAAATGCATGTAAATATATACTATACACAAATTAATAAACATAGACATTTTTGTAGACTTTCCCATCTCTATCACCCTTTATAAAGAAGAATTATAATTAACAGATGTAAATAGTCACTGCAAAATTTTAATTTCCTCATTTAAACAAAAGGTACAACCTTCACAATCGCAAAATAAAATACACAAAGTCAATATTAAATTGTTTACCTGAAATTGTTTATAAATAAATTCATTTTTTTAACCTTACAGTTCAGACAGAAATTAAGAATAACTCATCTAAATTAACCTTTAATTTACAATTGTCGTAACTGTACGTTCATATAAATTAAGTGCTGCAATTATTTTTTTATTAAAAGATTTTTCTTCGTTTTGTATCTGCCAAATACTTCAAATATGCTTCAATAACATTAGAAATAAAAAACAGATATCACATATTATAATGGTAAAGTTACGCACTTATTTTAGTTGAAAATATCAATTAAATAATATGTACAGATAATAAATAATTGGACTTCACAGTAATACCAATATAAGCGGATATTAATGTATCAATAATTATTCATGATCTATAAGCCAAAATCAGGATAAATCATTGCGTCCGTTTGTGAAAAATATAATTTGATATTCAAAACAATAGAATTATTTTTTATCTAATTAATTTAATAAAACGATAAGTATTATTGGGATTAGTGCTTTCATCATTCCACGTATTAACTAACAAGTAATATTTGTTATTATAAGATTATAATTTGCTATTTAATTTTTTATTATATATATATAAAGTAAAAAATATTTAATATAAAATGTATTTATATAAATTATAATGTGTATATGTGTGTGCGCGTGTGTTCGTTACTTGAAATAAGACAAAATTTTTACAATATATTTATACAATAAATATATTACTTATTATGTAAAATATATTTTCACATAAAAGTATTTGAATAAATATTTAGTGAATATATAATAATTCATTGAACGTTAAATATACTATATTTTAATTTACATAATGATGCACTTTGAATAAGTTACTTGTATATAACATATTATAAAAATTTCTGAATAAAATATGTAACCAAAGCATTGTTCTTATATTACATAATTCTAGAGTATAATGATTGATAAATGTTTCCATTAGAACATTCGGTATGTAAGATAATGACGAATAATACTCAAGAAGAATCAAGAAAATTCCCATGTTATTTGAACAAAGATTAGTATTATGTACATAATGTTCTACATTTTATTTTGTTTACAATTTGAAAATTACAAAATTTTAGTATTAACATTTTTTAATTGTTGATGAGAAATGTAAAAGAAAGGATTGAAAGCCGATTTACGATTTGTGTAGATAAAACTATCGTTTTAATTTATTTATTGTAAAGCAGAAAGGACTTTGTAAATAAATCATGAATGAACGTTTCAATATTGACAATAATCTAGTTTGTCTCTATTGATGAGGACTAGAATAGTAGAAAGACAGATAAAAAGAGAGAAAGAGAGAGAGAGAGAGAGAGAGAGAGAGAGAGAGAGTGAGATGAGAAGTGCGTAAACTTTGTACATAAAAATACATAAAAATTAATTTGTCTTCTCTTTGAAGAGAATCATTTGTAAGACCTATTATTAACTATTATTTCTTTGTATTCCTTTTCAATAGTTTAAAGATACCTGGTGGTAATGAAATTTTTGACAATGAAAAATATGAGCTATGATAATAAGATTTTCATCTCAAATATTTTAAAAGTAATAGATCATTAATGATAAAGTTTTCGAAATTAAATATACTTAATATACGTTTCAATTTTTTTCAACATAGTTTTAACTTGCTCTAACTTATTTATTAAATTCTAATTAAAATTACTGTAGAATTAATCATATCAATAGTAATTAAAAATGCATTTACTTGAAAGTATACAGTTTAATTAATTATAATTGAATCATATACAAATGACATAATCATATTTTTTAATTAGCAATGTATCGACAAAAGTTATTAAAATTTAATTTGAAAAGATAAATATTTTAGGTTATACCATTAATTTCGGAAGTTGAGAGAAGTAACTACGAGGAACACAAAGTTTATAAAGCTGACAACAATGAAAATACGTCAGTTTGCAATACCTTTAGCAATAATAATAAATACCATTTATGTTTTCTTTTTAAACGATGAATCTTGGTAAAATCGTAGAATTTAGTTTATTACGATGAATTATAAGTGTAAAGACTGCAATATAAAGAACAAATATTTAATTTCAATAAAATATCCTTTAATTATCTTAATGTCACAAATTTATTAATAAATTATCTTATTATTCTTATGTTATTTAAAGATTTATTAGCATACGACACATACGGCGAACACACATATGGCATGTGACATATTTGTAAAATTAAAGAATTTTATCATACCATATGCTTTAATAGAGATATTTACTTCAACCTCGGATAAGGAAGATCATTAATCACTTTGGTGTTTGTAAAATCAAACCTCCTATTTGATGGAAAGTTTAGCATCATAGTTTGTTGTTTTTTTTTTTTTTTTGAAAGTAAAGAAATTATTGCATAAACAATTAAGCATGGTCGAATAATAGAATATTCGAAAGTCAAGTGGCAGTTGCGTATATCGATCTGGGAATATGACTTTTGCAAATCACGTTATTGGCAATTGCTTGATAAACAAAGATCACCAGGTACTTGAGAAGAAACCTGTCGTATTCAAACTCATCTCAAGGGAAGAATGGACACCTTTTATTAAAGATAAATTCCATTTTATAGTGCTTGTAAAGGTTTCTAAATCGATATTTGTCTTCAGGGAATCTAGTAGAATTAAAGCCTTCAAGAAATTGTCTTAAATACATGTACAACAAAGTAGATTTTTTTTCGAAGATTGAGTATTCGGTTCAGCGCTGATGATGAATTCGGAGTCATAATTCATTCACAATTGTCATAACTTCTACCGATAAAGTTATTCCTTAAAATATTGTTGATGCTTGTAACAAATAGATATCACAAAATAAATATATAATAAATATAATAAATATATAATAAATATCATACCTCGCAGGTATAACTTCGTGATTTTCTCGGAGGTAGTGTTATACTATTCTCGTAGATATTTTTCAATCCGAATTTAATATAAAATATCTAATAACGTAAGATTAGACATTAGCATTATTAAATTAGTGACAGCCGAGGTGAATTTCCCATAATTTTGTAAAATGCCTTTACAGTACAAGTAACATTATCAAGTACTTGGTATCAACGTGATGAATCTTACATCGTAATATTCTGCAACGATTCGTTGGAATGACATTTTGACAGAGAAAGTTCCTACTAGGGTCGTACAGCACCTATGGACCATATCAAGAGGTAAGAATTACAAGCGAGTTTAGAATTGAAGGAAACTTTGTAAATTGTAAAAGTGATGTGACCTCTAAGCATGTTAAATAATTATAAATGACATTGTATATTAAAGTACATCAAATACTTTATCTTGCTACATACAATAATAAATTATTCACCTCGTTGTACAGTTTTCAATAATCTATGATAAGTGATGTGAAAAAAATATATTGTGGACAACAAGTAATTTGATTTTCTAACAAATATCAGAAGGATCGTCAGCATACATAATCAGTTGAATAATATTTTCAAAAACTGCAATTAGTTGTACTTACAATTTACTGATATTCATTTACAAAACAATTTTTTCTCAAAAATTCTCTTACATAGTTGATCAGATAGTTGTTAATATAATGTTAAATATATAAATAAATTAAAATACATATGCTGTACAAAAATTTCTGAAAAATGTCACTTTTCTATTAAAAGTGCACATAAAATTGTATATAAATTGTGATGGTGCTACTTATTAATTTCTCTCTCTCTCTCTCTCTCTCTCTCTCTCTCTCTCTCTCTCTCTCTTGATTGGCCAATGTAAGAGATGTGAAAAGTGACCAAGAGAAAGAAACAGTAGGAGAGTGAGTTAGCGACACATATCAGGATATGAAGCCAATATAATATGAAAATAATTAGTTCGTGAATTATGAAATGTAAACAATAGTGCTTAAATAATATTCCATTTTTTGATAATGCGGTGATTCTATTAGCCTGCT